GTACCCAAGACGCCGCAAGAGGCTCCCTGGACCGCCAAGAGCCCCCCAAGACAGCCCGAAAGGACCCCAAGGCTCACAAGCGACATCCGAAGAGATGTCGAGAGGCATCCAAGTGGCCGCTGGCCTTTCAGCTCGCCCTCCTCCTCATCCTCTTCCTCATCCGCCTGTTCCTCATCCTCCCTTCTCCCCCTCCCAATCCCTCTCCCCCATCACCCTCCCCCTCCGATTCCTCCTCCATCCCCCCCCTCTTGGGGTACGACGGCTTGCCCAGCCCTGTCTTCCCACGCGTGCTCCTCCACACGCCTCATCAGGGCAACTCGCCTGGGCCTCGTTCCTGGATGGGCTGGGCTACGCGCGACGTCCAGGATGTGGGGCTCTCGCCTTGGCGCCCCAAACACCCGCCTCGAAAAACCCAGCGACGCGGGCGACGCACAGGTAGGATTCAAAAGGGGTTTCGCATGGGCGCCAAGCACACTCGTGCTGCACACGTCCAGCCGTTGCACGGATGGAGCACACTTGCGTGTCAGAAACGGGTTCCCGCTTTGGCGCAAAGCCCGCCCGTCGCAAAGAACAGCAGCTGCACTGCTTGATCAAAGAGATGCCATATTGCCAGGTCTCAGCAAGCATTGCGAGGATAATTTTTGCGTCGCGGAAAATGAAAAATCTCGTCTGTCTGAGTGCGCGCGCCATGAAGACGCGGACACGCGCGGGCGCGCCACCCCGGCATTGCGCGTCGCCGCCCCCGGCGGCATGTCTTACGAATGGCCCCGCTCGCGTGAAGACGCACCGCTGGCGATGGAAACGATCCACACGCTGCGAAGGGCACGGCTGCGCCGTGCGCCAGCCGGATTACCCGCAACCTCCGGGAAGCCCCACTCGCCTTCGAGCGGTGTCCCCACGCCTGCTGCGATATCATGACAAGCGCGTGATACCCCACGCATCCAGACGCCCGCCTGGCACTCTGAGGCGTTCGCCCCCGCGCGCGCGGAAGCGCCAGAACGCAGCACGCGGTGGCCTTCGGCCACTTGCGAGCGGCGCCCCCACGCATGGAAGACAGCTTCGACCGCGGACGGAAGTCTCGCAGCCCCAGACGTCCGCGCGGCATTCAGAGGCTGCGCCGCCGCGCGGGCTGACGCGCCGAAAAGCATGGCGCGGTGGCCCTGGTTCACCTGGGACGGCCGCCAGATCACGCCGGCCTTGCACGGCCTCCGCAGAGAGCCGCCGCCCATGTCTGTTGCGCCCAGCCAGGCTGGGCCTCCTCGGGGCGCCAGGCACCGAGGGCGGCGCCAGATTCTCAATGTGAAATTCGATATGGATTTCGATGTGGATTTCGAATGGATTTGCGAGGGCGGTCAAGTGCGTGAGGGGCGCCAGAAATTCGGCCCCACATTTCCACTTCGAATCCACCTCGAAATCCACTTTCGAAATCGAACCCGAAATCCACGTCATCCACTTTCGACATCCATTGCGAGATCCATTTCGAAATCCACGTCGAAATCCATTTCGGAATCCACCAGAAATCCACATCGAAATCCACACCTTCCCAGGTCGACATGGATGGCAATATGCTGTGGGCGGACTACTGAGGGAAGGATAGACTGCAAAGTTTTGAGGTCGAGCTGCCTGCCATGCGCGCCAGGTATCAACAGCGGGCAGCGCGAAACTCTCGCAACGCAACTGCCCGCGACCTCGCCCGGCCCGGTGGCAAGCGCTCAATCAAGGTCATAAGTGCGAGAGGGGGCCCCCGCGCACGCAACTCTGCCGCCGAGAAGACGTAGTCCTGCAAGGGCTGTGTTTTCCAGAGATTGTAACAAAACTAAGGATTGCGCACCCATGCCTGGGCCAAAGTTAGGGCGCCTTCTACCCCGTAACGTGCAACGAACATCAGCAACTGCTGAACGAGGAGAATGACCAGGCCGAGGAGGGGGAGAGTGAGGAGGCGTTTTTTATATACACTGTGCGCGCGTTGAAATCACATGGGAAGGCCGGCAACACTAGCCGATGATATGCACGATCGCTGGGAAGCACGTCCAATTTACATGTCCGCTGCGATTTTCACACGAGGTGTCCTCGCGTCTCTCCGGGCTCTTCGTTCCCGCCGAGAGTTTCAAAATCCACTCAGGATTCATTGCTGAGACCTTGTAGCCTGAGAGATGGGTTTCACCATGGAGCTCTCGCCATATTGCTGCACACATTCGTCGTGTAGACTTCCAACGGGCACATGGTTTCTTCGAGGTGAGATCCACGTAACTATTCTGGATAGGTTTCGCACCGGCGGGACGCAGCAGTCACAGGGATTCGCGGGGCGCAAATTCCAGGAGTGGAGCTTTGGACTGACTTGGGGCTGTCAGGACGGGTATTCACATTGATTCGAGGGCTGCGGTCGAAGGAAAGAAGGAATGCTGCAGCGATTTAGGACCGTCGGACGGTTGTCTTCCAATGCGGCCATTCCCACAGTTAAAATCACCTCTTGGGAGCTCGGGGCGAGAAGGTGCCTGTAGCATCGTTCATGGTTCATGGTGCCTGGGGCTTCCCCTGGTCCCTCCTCCTCCTCCTCCTCCTCCTCCTCCGTCCTCGCCCCAGCCCTCCTCCCTCGTCCCTCCACTTTCCCACACCGCTTCCCTCCTCGATCCTCCCTGCTCTCTCCTCCCCGCCCCTCCCTCTTCTGCAGCCGTCCCCATCCTCTCTCAAGTGTGGGCAAAGACCCCCAGGACCATTGATAAGGAATATGTCGTAAGGAGCCCTTCGAACTATTCCTTGAAGTAGAAATTCCTTCGCCAGGGGTCCTCTACGAGGAGTCCGTTTGCAAGGAACCCTGAACCAGGAGAACTTCATTGAAGTCACTGAGGATGACCCCCCTCTGTGAGGGATCCTGACCAGCACAGTCAGATGCTCGTTCTGGGGACCTCCCTGGAGCCACTCGGCTCCACTCGTGCGTCGAGCAGATCCGTTCGGTGAACTCCAGGAAGGTCCCCGAAACAAGCATCGACGCACAGGCAGCGAGGACCTCTGCACACGAAACCCCCTCGTAAGGAACCCTGAACCAGGAGAACCTCATTGAAGTCACTGAGGATGACCCCCCTCTGTGAGGGATCCTGACCAGCACAGCTAGAGGCTCGTTCTGGGGACCTTCCTGGAGCCACTCGGCTCCGCTCGTGCGTCGAACCGATCTGCTCGGTGGGCTCCAGGAAGGTCCCCGAAACAGGAAGACCGTTTGCAAGGAACCCTGAACCAGGAGAACTTCATTGAAGTCACTAAGGATGACCCCCCTCTGTGAGGGATCCTGACCAGCACAGGCAGCGAGGATCTCTGCACACGAAACCCCCTCGCAGGGAACCCTCCCTAAGACCTCCTCGGCGCGCCTGCTCCGCCCCCCCTTCCTCCGTCGCCCGCCCGCCCGCCTCGCCCCCTCCCCCCGCCCCGCCCCTGCTCTCTCTCTCTCTCTCGCTCTCTCTCTCTCTTCCCTCTCTCTCCCTCAAAACAGGGCCAGGATCGTCCTGGGGCCCTGTCTGGGGCTGCTTGCAAGCCATGCTGACGGGACACACAAATAAACACACAAAGGGACACACACAAATAAACACACACAAATATAAACACACAAATAAACACACAAATAAACACACAAATAAACACACACATAAAAAGATTCCCCCTATTTTCCCACATTTTCTGGGTTTGTGTCTTCCCCCTCTCCCTTAAAACAGGGCCAGGATCGGGACAAATCGCTCCAGAGCGATCCGGAGCGCTCTCGGAGCGCTCCGGAACGCTCTGAGAGCGGCCGCGGCGCCCAAGACATCCTCCAAGCCCGCCGATTCTCAGAGATTTCGAGGTGTCCCGATCCGATGTTGTCCCGATCTTCGCGTCGCTTTAGTCCCTGCCACGCGGCCAGCGCGGAGGGGGTGATCCGCGCAATCCGTGGGCCCTGCTGGCGGGCCGTCGCCCGCTCCTCGCGCGGGACGCCCCGACGGCTCTCGCGCGATCTTCGCGAGAGAGAGCACGTCGAGGCGGGCCGGCCAGGATTTTGGGGCAGCTTCGGGGATGGGCAGGCCCCCCTTTGGTAAAACGTGGCTTAGTGAAAACGACCTGAGGCCCAAGCCTGGCGGGCGCAAGCCTGGAAAATAACGGCCACGGCGCCCTCTCGAGGACCGAGAACGCACCATTCACGAATCGACGTGTCACTGCTGGGGGTTCTGTCCACCCCCGAGCACAGGGGCCTGCACTCAACAGCTCCAGACTTCCCAACTCCCCCGCACGGCGAGCAAAAAGAGATGCCCCGAGAGACATGAAGGTGGGGCAGACGCGACGGGTGGAAGGCATGCGCGCGGTTCGCCGTGCGAGCTCTCTTCATCGCAGGGGCTTCGGTCCCGAGGAGAGCGCACCGAAAACAAGTCCGACACCGAAGTCCCTTGACGGTTCCTCGAGAACGTGCTGGGCATAGCCCCTCTGTGGGGGCCTGGGATCTCTAATTAGATGGGAAGGGGCGGCGGCGCCCAGAAATCAGACTGGATGGTGGCAAGACGGGTTGAAATGAGTCGCATCTCGGCGGCTTCTGCGTCAATCTGCTCGATGACTACATCTGGAAGCTGGCAATTCTCGGTAGTTTCTTCGGCCATCTTATCAGCAAAAGTATTGGAAATACACTCCCATGCACGAATATTATACTTGTCCCGACCATCATAAGTAGGACGGGACTCGGTTCTTTGAAACTCTAGGGGCCTATCGTGGGCCTGAAAAGCGGCCCAAAAGTCAGCCCACAAATCACCGTAGCAACGAGGTCTTCCCTCCCACTTCCTCCTCCTCCTCCTCCTCCCCCTCCTCCTCCTCCTCCTCCTCCTCCTCCTCCTCCTCCTCCTCCTCCTCCTCTTTCTCCTCCTCCTCTTCCTGCTCCTCCTCCTCCTCCTACCTGCTCGCTCCTCTGCTCCTCGCTCCTCCTTGGCTCCCCGCTCCTTGCTCTTCGGTCCGGGAAGGCGCTCGCGGCCGCGTGCGCGCGCGCTCCACGCCTCTTGCGAGGAGGGCTCGGTGGACTCTGCCGGCAGGCTCACCTGCAGCAGCCCGCCCTCGCAGTCTGGGCACTGCGTCTGACCAAGCATCACAATGCAAATACTCATGACTGGGCCACACAGGTGCTCGGCGCTGGGGCATTGGGGCCTATGAGCGCCTCCCCCTCCTCCTCCTCCTCCTCTTCCTCCTCCTCCTCCTCCTCCTTCTCCTCCTCCTCTTGTCATTGGTGTTCTTATTATTAGTCATAGAATGCGTCTTCATATGTTTATTCTTAGTATTAGAATTTGTGATATGATTATTATAATTAGTATTATTATTATTATCATTATTATTATTAGTATTATTATTATGAATATTAATATTATTAGTATTACTAGTAGTAGTAGTAGTAGTAGTAGTAGTAGTAGTAGTAGTAGTAGTAGTAGTAGTAGTAGTAGTATGATGTGTCTTCGCTGTCTGCGAATTACTATAGTATTCTTAGTGATAGCGTGCTTCTGAGCATCAATGATAATACAAATCGTCTTGTTAGTGTGTTTAGTACTTGTAGTATTACCATTGTTAGTAGAATGCGGTTTAGTAGTATTCTTTTTATTGCTAGAACTATTATTATTTGTTTATGAATAGTATTGCTATTATGTGTGTCTGGAATGTATTCGTAGTTTTATTCGCATGTGTATTCGTATGATTGTTATTGGCAACCGTATTATTAGTGTTACTAGTCTCATAATTATTTTCGTTGTGCTTAGTTAGTTCAAATTTAATATTAATGCTATTATTATTAATATTAGTGTTCTTAGTTGTCGTCTTCTCAGTTGTCCTAGTGTTGTGATACGTAAAACGCTTCGCATTCGTATTACTATTCCTCCTCATCACTATCTTCCTCCATCTAAGCACTATGCGCCTGCTACTTATCCTATTTATATCCGCTCCCGATCTTCCTCCATACGTACACCCCACACACACACACACACACGCGCGCGCGCACACAAACACACTAATGCCACCATTATCCTTTCCCTCGTCCTCTTTCCCCTCGCCCTCCAACGGAGTGGCCGCCGACTTGGATTGCAAGGGCGGCTTAAGCGACGACGTGCAGCATCGACAGAGGCCACTATGAGGATGAAACCAGGCCAGGCGGACCACCACGAGATGGAGTTCCGAGTGAGCCCGCTCCAGGACGTGCAGGCGTGAGTGACACCTCGCGCCTCCTCCTCCTCCTCCTCCTCCTCCTCCTCCTCCCTCCTCCTCCTCCTCCTCCTCCTCCTCCTCCTCCTCTCATCATCATCATCCTCCTCCTCCTCCTCCTCCTCCTCCTCCTCCTCCTCCTCCTCATCATCCTCCCTCTCTCCTCCTCCTCCTCCTCCCCTCCTCACTCCTCCTCCTCCTCCTCCTCCTCCTCCTCCTCCTCCTCCTCCTCCTCCTCTCCTCTCATCCCATCCTCATCCTCATCCCTCTCCTCTCCTACCCCCCCCTCCTCCTCCTCCTCCTCCTCCTCCTCCTCCTCCTCCTCCTCCTCCTCCTCCTCCTCCTCCTCCTAATGGGCCACTGTCCCCCTTGTCCTCCCCCCATCGCTCCTTGCCAGGACATGCAAGAGGAGCAGCAGCACCGCCACAGCCATCATCCCCCTCGCGCGCCTGCGTGCCAGAATCCAGCGGGCCCGGCGCCGGCGCGTCCACGGCCACCGGAGAAGGCTCTGGCGCGCCTGCCCGCTCTTGCCGGCCGCCGCGGGGGGCGGAGGAGGAGGAGGAGGAGGAGGAGGAGGAGGACGAGGAGGAGGAGGAGAGGAGGAGGAGGAGAGGAGGAGGAGGAGGAGGAGGGGGAGGGAGGAGGAGGAGGAGGAGGAGGAGAGGAGGAGGAGGAGGAGGAGGAGGAGGAGGAGGAGGAGAACGAGGAGGAGCAGGAGGAGGCGGGAGGAGGGGAGGAGGGCCTGAGGAGGGAGAAGGGGGAGTGGGGAGAAGCAGGAGGCCCAGGATCATTGGAGGGAGAGCGATGGGGAGGAGGAGGAGCCCCGTCGGACGCAGAGCAGCTGGTGCAGCACGCAGGAGAGAAAGTGCTGCTGCTGCCGCTGCAGATGAGGGACAATTTGCACTTGCTGTGTTCGCATGCCGCTGCCATTTTCATTCGAGTCCTGACGAGCCCCAGCAGGGGCGAAACGTTGACACGCGTAGTGAAAAGGCACGGGCTTGAGAGCGCCATACGAGTAAGGTGCACCTCGTGCGGTGCGGCACGGATGGCGGCACAGAAACAGGGGGTCCTGCAGGGACCCGTGATTCTACAGAGACACTTGGCCGGAGACAGGCTCCTGCAGGTCTCGGCGGTTCTTGCTGCATCGACGAATCATGACCGCACTAGTCCAACCGCAACAGCAACTTCGAGCAAATGTTGTCCACACTCTCGCTCAAACAATTATGGCAGGTTTCGAAGGATCGCGCAGGATCAGGCTATTGATAAATTGGTCGTGCGACAACTCTTACCTGGTCTTGAGGACAGGCTCCTTCAAGCAGTGGTGACCTCGTGCCTGCAAAAGACCCTCATTGCCCCGAGCCTGGATTGCTACTGCGCAAAACACCAGAAACTGGCCCAAAGCCTGAACCGCTTCATCCACGACTCGTGTGTGCGAGAAAAGGTTATCATGGTCGGGCGGGTGGTAATGGGAGATGACCCACATGGGGGATGAAGAAAAGAACCCTAAAGGGGCACTTTAAAGCCCCTCTTGGAGCCCCTGGAAAGGGTTACAGCGGATCGGCAACAAACAGTTCTGGTCTGACTGCGGGCATCTGCGGTTTCGATGCCACCGCGGAGCACCTGCCTGCGCGAATGCCTCCGTCGGCGTGAACCTTCCGCGGACATATGTCCTTCCTTCCAGCCGAAGTGCACGGTTACAGTAGGAGCTCGACCACGAAAAACCTTTCACGAGGAATCCAACCCCGAGAAGTCAGGACGTCTATTGATTTCTGGTGTGGGAGCGTCACGCCTTCCATAGCAAAACCATCGAAACCCAAGAAACCCAGGGCACCCTGGAGGCAAGCAGAGTGTTTCTTGGCATGGATTTCCACTGCACCCTGATTCACATGTGTGCCAATAAGATCGGGGATGTACATCAGTGGCGGCAACGGACTGACGGCAGCCTGCCAGAGAAGGACCGTACGAACAGAAAGAAAGACCGAGGAACGACGACTGAACCTTCTTCGACAGAAAACGCAGACTTGACGATCAACATCGACTGAGTGTCAACTTTACTCAGACATGCGTTGAGGGGTACTCGGCGGCGATGAAGGTGACAACAGCGATGGCATCAGAAAGTGCGACGACGCTGGCGCCAGTCACTGCGGTTACCTCCCCAGCTAGGCTTTGCTCACGACCCCTCATAAAAGATTCCCCTGGCTCCCTCGTTTCCTTCGGCCTCCTTCTCCTCCCAGCGAGCCCACCGACACACCAACTGGCCCTCCAGCCAGCCAGCCAAACGGCCGTCCAACCACCCAGCCAACCAGCCAACCTGCCAACCAGCCACTGGCGAACCAGCCGAGCTGCCAACCCGCCAACCCTTTCGCCAGCCAACCAACCAACCCAACCAACCAACCCATCCATGCAGGATCGGGGATCTTCTGACCCGGGTCAATCCAGACCCGGGTCAGCAGGAAACCACAAACTGCAATGCAGGAACAACAACAAAAAAAACGGCAACGCAGGTCTTCGCAAACCCGGGTTCGCCAATAGGCGCGGCCGCCTCGCGGCCACGAGCGGCTCGCTAACCCGGGTCAGCCAGAGGGGGTCTTCGCAGGATCCTGCAGGATCCAGCGCTCTGGCTAACCCCCGTCTGCATTGACCCCCGTCTCAAGGCTCCCGACAGGAACGCAAAGGAGGGGCCGGGCGGCAGGGGAGCGAAGCCCTTTAGATATGATGCAATTCCGCCGCACACAGCTGTAGAGGCAGCCGAGCGCCCTTGATACGGCTAGATTCTCTCGTTCGAGTGTGTGCATAGACGTGGAGGCTCCCAGGCCTCGAGCTTCAGATTACTGCGTGCCCGGGCGACCCCTGGGTGGACCCTTCCCCAGGCCCATGAACATGGTCGGGAATCCTGGCGCAGGCGGCAAACAGAAATTTAGAACTCCTCCAGGAGGCCTCCCAGAAGGGCACCAAGAAGCAAAAATCAGTGGCCAAGAGGCCTCCAAGACGCCCAAGATGACCTCCAAGACGGCCCCGAAGCGCCCCCCAAGTGGGCCCCAAGCCGGTTCAAAGAGGCCCCCAAGACGGCTCCCGACGGCGTCAGACGGGCCAGGAACGCCCTAAGACGGCCAAAGAGGCCCCCGAGAAGTCCCAAAAAGGCCCAAAGATGCCCTCAAGAAGCTCCAACATGGCCTCCAAGACGGTCCAAAGGTGGCCCAATCGACCCCAAGAGTGCCTCAAGAGGCTCCGAAGAGACATCCTCCCCCTTCTCCTTTTTCCTCGTTCTAATCCTCGTCCTCTTCCTCCCCCACGTGTTCCCCGAAGGCTTTCCAAACCGGCTCGGGGAACACATGGACCGATAGCTTCGCCTCCTAAGATGCCTCCAAGACGTCCCAAGGGGCCTCCAAGACGGCCTAACATGGCGTCAATATTGCCCAAGACGGCCCAAGAGGCCCCCAAGAGGCCTCCAATGGGAGGCTCCCAGGCAGCTCCAAGAGTGTCCCCAGAGGCTCCCAAGATGCTCCCTCTTCCTCCTTCTTCTACTCCTCCTCCTCCTCCTTCTCCTCCACCTCCTCCTCCTCCTCCGCCTCCTCCTGATCTTCCCCGCCATCCTCCACCACGTGTTCCCCGAAGGCTTTCCACAACGGCTGGGGGAACACATGGTCCGATAGCTTGGAAGAGCTCTTGCCACAACACTCGGCCACATGGGCGATTCTAGAAGGCAGGGGGCGGCGGTGATTCGCCGTAGGCGTCTTCGATAGAAGATCCGCCACCGTGCCTTGTGCATGATGTGGCGTGTTATAATGCTCCTGTGTTGTCTGGTAGAATGTAATGAGAGTGTTCTAAGGCCGACCCCATCCTCTGGTCGCGCGCCCCTTCCGAAAACAGCACCCCTCTCTGGGGCCGGTTCTCAGCCACTCTCCATCAAATTACTGAGTGGACAGGCTTTGGTCGAGAAGAGGCTCTGGTCGAGGAGTGCCGAAACATTCAACCAAGACTGCCCAAGAAGGCCTCCGGGCGCTCCAAGAGGGCTAAAAGATGGCCTAAAACGCCCTCAAGACGGCCCACAGGCTTCAAAGATGGCCCAATAGGGTTCCAAGGGGGCGCCCAAGAGGCCCTCAAGAGCGAATCGGCCTTGCTCCTCAGGGCTTAGAAAGATTATGATATACTAGACTTTCTGGCTTCCGAAAGCCCAAGCCGGCAACAAGTTCCGACGGGGGCTCCAAGACAGTCCAACTGGGTCGCAAAAGGGTCCAAGCTGGCCCAGGGGGCTCCAAGACGGCCCTCAAGCGGGCCCAAGACGGCCTGAGACGCCCACAAAACAGCCCACGAGGCCCCCAAGAAGGCCCCCAAGAGGACCAACGAAGGGGAAAGCAGACCTGCACGAATTGCTTTCTGCTACAGGAATGCCTCTCAGACCCAACGCGCCCGCGATGGGCCCCCTACGAGGCCCCCAGAAGCCCCAGATACACCATCGAGAACCCCTAGAGACCCCCGCGAGGCTTCTCCAAGGTGCCCCTAGAGACCGCTCAACGCCTCCCAAACAGCCCCAAAATACTTCCGAGAAGCCCTCGAGAGGCACCAGAGAAGCTCCTGTATGCGCCTTCATATACATCAACCTCCTTAACGCTGCGCTGCTGCGCTGGCACGATAGCGTGGTTTGCCGCGGGCAGCTGGACAAGGAAGCGTGTGCGATGAAAGCCTCAACTCAGGACATGTGAAACCTACCGACCCTGACTGTAAGCAAACGTTCACCGTCACTTCTGATTGAGACCATCCTCCCATCCAGTAGTCAGCATTCCCTCCTGGCCTGCTGAAGGCAAGTCTGAAAGGCGACTGCAGCAGTAGCCCCAGCAAGGTGTGTCCTCTCGGATGCAACAAAAAACGCGCTGCGTTTCCACGCAGACGCTGCAGCCTCACTGAGAAATTGGAAGCTCAATCCTGAGATTCGCTGGTGCGGCACACCCGACCACGGGGCTCCCACGTCTTCGTAGCCATTCAGCCTCAGCAGGCAGACTCTGGCAAACACTCCAAATTAAGGTATTCACACATAGATACCAAAGGGTTTGCAATCGCATGACCGGCAATTACCCAGGCTTCTCAAGGACCGGCTCCTGGTGCCAGGCTCTGGTCGCTGGGGCACCTGGCAGGGCTGGAGCAGCGACGGCCACGCCTCGTCTGTGAGCCCCGATGCTAACCCATACTTGGATGCTCGTTTTCGGGACCTTCCTGGAGCCACTCGCTCCACTCGTGCGTCGAAGCTGCGTCGAACGTCAGTCGATTTGGGTCGACCCTGAGTCGAACCTGAGTCGAACCTGAGTCGAACCTGAGTCGAACTTGAGTCGAACTTGAGTCGAACTGGGGTCGAACAGATCCGTTAGGTGGGCGCCAGGAAGGTCCCCGAAACGAGCATCGAATCACACTGCTGGCGCGCAGTGCTGACAAACCCGCTGACTTGGCTCACGGTGTGGGCTGAGAATGCTGAGCCACACATCTGACGGTCGACGTCCGCCAGCGGCCTCCGAGCCAATCGCACCGATTGCTCCAGCACGTCACCCGCCAAACGTTGCCTTCTGGGGAAAGTTCTTGAGAAAAAATGACGAGCAAGAATCGTCGTTTTTCTCAAGCTGGCTCGGAAGTGCAAAATCGACTGCTGGACCGTTCCAGCCAAGTGCAAATGCTCCGCTCTGGCCGAGGCAGGGACAGGCCGATCCTGCGCGCTGCCCTGGCCCTGCCGAGGGGCCCCAGGAACGAGCTGGCAGACGCTGGCTCGGAAATCGAACAGGACACAGGAGCGACCCAGGAAAAAAAAACAGCAGCAAAGAATCCGCGTACTCTGTTACCAAACCTCTGCCACCCCATCCCGAGGGGCCCCAACTCTCCCCTTGAGGGTGGGGGTCCAGGGGTGAGGGTGGGGGAGCTGCCAGCTCCTCAGTCTACCTCCCAGGCCCTAACAGGGAACCGAAGTGGCATGCCAGGCCCTGCAGGCACCCACTCACATGAGACCCAAGCTATCTCAAGATGGCTTCTTGGATGGCTTGAGATGGTTTCCATGATTGCCCCGATCGGCCCAAGGTTGGCTCCACGATGGCCCTGGAGCCTCCCAAGGAAGCCTTCGAAGGGGCACAAGATTTTAGAACTGAATTGGGTTTCTTTGATTTAGGCGGTCTCGCCTTCGCTGCTTCGAATGGGCCTCGGAAGCCTTAAGACAGCCCCTAGGCAGCGCCCAAGGCACCGATGACAAGCCCAGGGCCCCGAGAGGGCCTCAAGAGAGCAAGGCCCCGACAAGTCCACAGTAGGCTCCCAAACAGTCCCAAGGTTCCCCGAACAGGCACCGGACGATAACGCGTGAACAGCCTGGGACAATCCCAACCAAGCCCCGAGATAAATCCAAGAGTGGCCAAGATGGAACAGAAATTGGCACAGTGTTCCGACACACATGCGCATCGAGGCCATGGCGAAATCAAACTCTGAGATGGCCCAGGAGGCAACCTGCTGGGAGATGTGCATGCTTACTTCTGATGTGTTCCCAAAATTGTGTTCACACTAAAGAATTATTACTTGTATTGGCGGAAATGGGCATGGGCATGGTGATGTATGGTCACCGCCCTGGCGCCCATATATCCACCACCGTGCCTGCAGCACGTAGTGGAGTGCCCCAAGGCTCATGTAGCCCTGAGAATTTCAAAATTCTAGAGTTCTAAAAGGTTTTCAGGGCCACGGCCCCCAGTTTCAGAAGGGTTTCCGGGGATGTCTAGAGAATCCTCCGGATTCCCCGGGATTTCCGGGGATTCCATGGGCGTGGCACGCGCGTCCTCCAGTAGCGCGGCGGGCCAAACATGGGCCAAAAAACACCCAAGAGGGCCAAAGATGCCTCCGAGAAGGCCCAATAGTGCACCAATGTGCCCCAACACGTCCAAGATGGCCTCGACACGGCCCAAAAGGTATCCATCTTGGAGCCATCTTGGGCAGCCTTGGTGGCCTCCTGGCCCGTCTGACGCCGTCGGAAGCCGTCTTGGGGGCCTCTCTGGGCCGTCTTGGGACTCCTTGGGGTGGTCTTGGGGGGCCTCTTGGGCCGTTTAGGGGCCATCTTGGAAGCCTCTTGGCCGATCTTGGGGCGATCTCTGGGGGCACTTGGGCAGTTTCTGGCCGTCGGAAGGCCGAAAAGAAAAGGTCCACATCTTTCAAAAACCGAAGGAAAATCAATGATGCTTGTCTCTTCGGGCCTTCCTGGAGGCCCTCTTGGAGGCCTCTTGGGCCGTCTTGGAGGCCTCTGGCGGGCCTCTTGAACCGTCTGTCGTCATCTTGATGCCATCTTCGGCCGTCTTGGAGGCTTCTTGGGTGGACTTCGAGGCATCTTGGACTCGCTTGGACCGTCTTGGAGGCATCTTGGACCATCTTGGCTGACCTTGGAGGCCATCGTGGCCGTCTTGGAGGCCGGCCATTGTGGGCCATCGTGGAGCCATCTGGAGCGGAAAAACCTTTGCAACCGGGTCTTCCGCATGGCCGGCGCGCTGGGCTGGAGCCCCAGGGAAGAGTTCTGTAGAAAAACAATCAAAACCAAACCAGTAGGTTCAGCACGCAAGGCACCGCTGTGGCAAGACCACAGGGGGCGGCGGATGACAGAAAGAGCGAGGTACGAGCGAGAGATGTTTCGCAGGGGGCGAAGCCCTTATAGGGAGGGGGTCTGGGAGAGGGGGCTAGAGGAGGAACAAAAGTCTAGTTGTACGTTTCCTTTGTTTTTTCATTGAAGCGGCTCCCGGGCGGCTCCCATGGCCAGTTGTCTGCTTTTTTTGTAGTCACGCGGCCCAAGGGCCCCAAGACGGCTCAAGAGGGCCTCAAAACGGCTCAAGAGGGCCCCAAGACGGCCCCAAGAGAGCTTCAGATGGCCTCCAGACGGTCCAAGAGAGTCTCGAGACGGCTCCAGAGGCCCTCAAGGCCCCCGAGAGGGCCTCGGGCGGCCAAAAGCATCGATGTGCCTTGAATGTTTGCAAGTTTTTCGGGCTCTCCCTTCTTCAATCCCGGAAGGGTCCCGGACGGCCCGAGAGGCCCCAAATATCGTCCTAAGACGGCCCCAGAGGCGCCCCAAAGGGGCCCAAAACGGTCCATGAAGGCCCCCAGACAGGTCCAAGACGGCCCAAGAGGCCCCAAAGATCATCCCAAAACGGCCCCAGAAGCTCCCCAAAGGGACCGAAAACACAAGAGGGCCCCAAGAGGCTCTCAAGCGGGCCACAAGAGGAGGAGGAGGAGGAGGACGAGGAGGAGGAGGAGGAGGAGGAGAAGGGCAGGAAGGGAGCAAGGAAGGGAGGACGGGAGGAAGGGAGGGAGGAAGGAATAGGAAAAAAGGAAGGGAGGAAGGGAGCAAGGGAGGAGGGGAGGAGGAGGAGGGAGGGAGGGGGCGGGAGGAGAGGTGAGGGGAGGGAAGGGGAGAGGGTAGGGAGGGGGGGGAGGAGGTGGGAGGGAGGAAGGGAGGGGAAAAGGGAGAGAGGGACGAGGGGGAGAGGTAGGGGAGGGGGGAGAGGGGGGGGGGGGAGAGGGGGGAGAGGGGAGAGGGGGGAGAGGGTGGGAGAGGGGGGATGGGGGGGGAGGGAGGAAGGGAAGGAAGGACGGAGGGAGGAAGATGGAGGAGGCGGAGGTGGAGGCGGAGGCGGAGGCGAAGGAGGCGGAGGAGGCGGAGGAGGCGGAGGCGGAGGAGGCAGAGGAGGCGGAAGAGGAGGAGGAGGAGAATGGCGGAGGAGAAGGAGAAGGAGGAGGAGGATGGAGGATGAAGGATGGAGGATAGAGGATGGAGGATGGAGGATGGAGGATGGAGGATGGAGGATGGAGGATCTAGGATGGAGGGTGGAGGATGGAGGGTGGAGGGCGGAGGGAGCAGGGTGGAGGAATTGGAGGATGGAGGGGATGGAGGATGGAGATGGAGGATGACGGATGGAGGATGGAGGATGGTTAGAGGATGGAGGATGGAGGCTGGAGGCTGGAGATGGAGGGATGGAGGAAGGATGGAGGATGGAGGATGGAGGATGGAGGCTGGAGGCTGGAGGGAATGGAGGAAGGAGAAGGAGGAGGAGGCGAGGAGGAGGCGGGAGGAGGAGGGGGGAGGAGGAGGAGGGAGGACGGAGGGGAGGGGAGGAGGAGGATGGAGGAGCGAGGAGGAGGAGGAGGAGGAGGAGGAGGAGGAGGAGGAGGGAGGAGGAGGAGGAGGAGGAAGAGGAGAAGAGCGGAGGATGGAGGATGGAGGATGGAGGATGGAGGCTGGAGGGAGGAGGAGGAGGAGGAGGAGGGAGGAGGAGGAGAGAGGAGGAGGAGAGGAGAGCGAGGAGGAGGAGGATGGTGGGGGCGAGGAGGAGGAGGGAGAGGAGAGGAGGAGGAGGAGGAGAGGAGGAGGAGGAGAGGGAGGAGGAGGAGGAGGAGGAGGAGGGAAGGAGGAGGGAGGAGGAAGCAGGAGGAGGAGGAGGAGGTCAGGAGGAGAGGAGGGGAAGGAGGAAGAGGAGGAGGAGGAGAGGAGGAGAGGCAGGAGGCGGAGGCGGAGGAGAGAAGGTGGAGGAGGGGAGAAGGAGGAGAGGAGGATGGCGAGGAGATGAGAAGGGACAAGGAGAGTAGAGGAGGAGGAGGAGCAGGAGAAGGGCCCGTACACTCATCATGGGACAGCTCTTTTTTCACGGTCGCATGGCGGATGGGGATGGCGGATGAGGATGTAGGAGGGAGGAGGAGGATGGAAGAGGAGGAAGAGGAGGAGGAGGAGGATTCGGATTCTGATTCGGAACGCTCGCGTAGCAAGATCAAGAGAAAAGTTGGGACGCTGGCAGAAATCCGATGAAGAAGTCCACGGAGGAGGAGGAGGAGGAGGAGGAGGAGGGGAGGAGGA